ACATTTTTAACACTTGATATTATTTTTATATCACTGGACTTTGTTTTTTTTACCACTGGATTTGTTTTTCTCACTATATTGTGTTGATTTGAACACTTGATTTTTTTGGTTACTGCAATTTTATTATTTAATATTTTGAGTATATAGGATAACAAATTTGGGTTATTATTTCAATATATATTTTATATGATAAGTTTTGGCACTGTGAAGTTTATGAGCCACTTTTTCACAAATTCACTGTGGTTTTATATTATTTATATTGTAAGATAACATTAGTTGAAACGTCTATGTGATTTTAGTGATTGGGATTAGATTTACTTTAAGTTAACAAAGGAAGAGTATTAAAGCCCAATGTCTCTGCATCCATCCATGGCTACAACATTCCACTACTACTGTACCAAGAATGAGAAACTTCATAATCTTGTACTATAGCACCACCTGCTGGAAATATACATCTATAGCAAAAACCCTGCATAGCTGCTTTAAAACAGAGTAGAACTTTTGTCTAGTTATCAACTAATAAAACAAATAAGTAATAGTAAGTCCAAATTAGGTCCCATTTATACTAGTGCGACTTGCCCTGCGTCTCCCATTGCGCTGCATTGCACAACAATGGAAGTCACACTAATCTATATGGTGCTCGTTCTCATTAATAAAACATGGTGCAGTGTGTTTCCCTTGGTGTAGCATAGCGCGTTTTTTGCCCCATAGACTTCATTGGGTGTGCATGCAAAACACATGTGCATGCATTTTTGGCAGGGTTTTATGTTTAAAAACCAGGCTCCTCCTACAAAAAAACGCATGAAGCATGAAAACGCATATAGAATGTGCTACAAAAATGCATTGAAAATGCATAGTTATGAAGCATCACCAGTGCAAACCTAGGCTAGGTGTACTGTGTGATGGTGCAAATCCATACCTTTCCTATGGAACAGAAAATAGAAAATGTGTTTGCGCCAGTACAGTATGCCTGTTTTTAATTACATAGATGATTACAGTGCAGTCAAATACAGGAAAGTGACTCGAGATAATCCTAGCAAGTGTATATGGCCACCCTATAAGGAATATGGAAATGATCTGTTTTATATGAGAAACACAGAAGAGCTTGCTTGTGAGAACTAGACAAACGCAGACAAAAAAATGTGTCTCATTTCATTTTGGATAGATTCGTTAAGTTACTAATTTTGTTTTGTTCGATTCCTAATTAATTTTGTTTTGTTTCATTCATTCGTTTTTGACTGGATTAACATTTTTCCAATGGATTTGAAGTATTCAAATTGAATTTGAATTGAAAATATCAAATCGATACAAATTTATTGTGAAGAATAGCTGGTTCTATTCTAATAGAAATTTGAATTTCAGAAGACGGTTATATTCTTTCCATTTTATTCTATTCTGTTCTATTCTATTTTTTTCTGTTCTGTTCTTTTCTATTCAATGAGAACACAGCAGTGAAATTCTGCACTAATATCCTCGCTGTGAAGTGTGCCATTGAGGAGTTGTACCACATTCTATAATGGTATGGAGATGGTTTTATTTCATTTATTTAGATTTTAGGATTATAAAAGGATATCTTTCTTCGCTATCTATAGAAAATCTTTTTTTTTTTTGCAAATAAGCATTTGATACACAGTGCACCATTACAGCGGTGTCACAGAGCATTATAGGATTTCTAAAGCAAGAACCCAACAGTAGTAGTTTGCTTTTAGACTGTATCTCTGTAATCAGAGCTATAGAAAGCTAGGATGGGGAAGAGGTGGTAAGTCACCACTCTGATATTTATAGCTATGGGTATAATTTCACTTGAGCTACTGGGCTTAGTAAACGCGTTTGTCACTGTTCCCCAGCTTTATTCAGGTTTTGTTCACATCTATGTGAAACATGTTGTTCTGTAGCAGATACATGAAGATGCCATTAATTCTTAAAGTGTTACTAAACCCACAACAGTAAAATCAGTCTGTATATGCAGTAAAGCATGCTTGATATACTCACTGTGGAACCTAAGAGGTTAATCCTCCGGATTGGGTAAAAAGGCTGTTTGATGTGGTCTTCTCTAACCATTCCCTTCAACTACTGTCCCCAATCCATCTCCAGATAGAACAGAACCTTGGGTGCAAGCTGCATATGTTCAGTTTGGTGTGTATTACTAGAGATTTTTTTTTTGGGAGAGTGCATGTGATCAGCACAGGGCCAATCAGCACTGTCCAGACAGAGGTCAGGGGTCCTGAATCCTCCTAGAGCAAAATGAAAACTCCTCCTACAAGCTTTAACCAGTGCTCTGCTGGACACTGATAGAAGTCACAAGACTGCTCCAACTGCTGATGAGAAAAGGTATTTAGCAGTTTATAGTTACTAAAATAATTGCATTTCCATGTTCTGTGTACTGTGGGAGACCAGATATAGTGAATGCAGGGTCCTGGATATAGTAACAGTTTAATGGCACCATCTTTATGCATCGCCAGTCAGTTGCCAGTGTTTTGCTCAAACCGCTGTGCAGCGAGATTTAACAAAAGGGATGGGGGCTTCATTCCCTGCTTTTCGGACAGGTTGGGTGTCCATTGAAATAAATGGGTTGCTCTACATGCAACGTTTGGGAACGTGCAGAACCACACGCACACATGCTAGGAAGCATCGTAGTTGCATGGTGTGAAGCTAGCCTTAGTTTTTGGGTTTTCTCACAGTTCAGCACAAGAGGGGGACGGTGCGGGGAGACGGTGCAGTTACAAGTTCAGCACAAGAGGGGGACGATGCAGGGAGACGGTGCAGTTACAACACAGTTCAGCACAAGAGGGGGACGGTGCAGGGAGACGGTGCAGTTACAACACAGTTCAGCACAAGAGGGGACGGTGCAGGGAGACGGTGCAGTTACAACACAGCTCAGCACAAGAGGGGACGGTGCAGGGAGACGGTGCAGTTACAACACAGCTCAGCACAAGAGGGGACGGTGCAGGGAGACGGTGCAGTTACAACACAGCTCAGCACAAGAGGGGACGGTGCAAGGAGACGGTGCAGTTACAACACAGCTCAGCACAAGAGGGGACGGTGCAGTTACAACACAGTTCAGCACAAGAGGGGGACGGTGCAGTTACAACACAGTTCAGCACAAGAGGGGACGGTGCAGGGAAACGGTGCAGTTACAACACAGCTCAGCACAAGAGGGGACGTTGCAGGGAGACGGTGCAGTTACAACACAGCTCAGCACAAGAGTGGGGTGGTGCAGTTACAACACAGTTCAGCACAAGAGGGGGACGGTGTAGGGAGACGGTGCAGTTACAACACAGTACAGCACAAGAGGGGGACAGTGCAGGGGGACAATGCAGTTACAACACAGTTCAGCACAAGAGGGAGACGGTGCAGTTACAACACAGTTCAGCACAAGAGGGGGACGGTGCAGTGGGACGGTGCAGTTACAACACAGTTCAGCACAAGAAGGGGACGGTGCAGGGAGACGGTGTAGTTACAACACAATGCAGCACAAGAAGGGGACGGTGCAGGGAGACGGTGCAGTTACAACACAGTTCAGCACAAGAAGGGGACGGTGCAGGGAGACGGTGTAGTTACAACACAATGCAGCACAAGAAGGGGACGGTGCAGGGAGACGGTGCTGTTACAACACAGTTCAGCACAAGAGGGGACAGTGCAGTTACAACACAGTGCAGCTCAAGAGGGCTAACATTGCAGTATTGATCCCAAAAGAAAACTCAGCAAAGGACAATGAATAAATAAATGACACAGACATTAAAGCAGTATTAAACCCAAAAGCAAACATTTTATTGTAGCTTACCAATTCTTAGATGTGATGGCAGCATTTTGTTTTATTTTTAAGCTTTCTTTATTTTATTTTCATCTGATGATCCAGCCAGTAAATCTGTTGTTTTTCAAAAGAACAAACTGTCCCACAGATGTATCAGTTACAGGGATGAGACAAACCATTTAACAGTGACAGGGGAGCTTACAAAGATCAGCTGTTATTTATTTAGGTAAAACCTTAATTCCAAAAGGAACAACAACTGTTTGTTGTAACTGCCTATAAAGTGTTAACTAGAGTTTGGCTTCAATTTTTTAGTGTATATAAATCTGCTAGTACATCTACCACTCCCCTCCCCCCCCCCCCCCCAGACTGACAATGTTGTTTTCCAAATCTGCCCCCTGTGGGGGGACCCAGGGCCTGTGCTCCTTCCTCTGATTTTGATGCAACATTCCGTGCGATTATGTAGCCAACTTGGATGCAACTTTGAAGTGGTTGGCATATTCCATAGGGTTGAAATGTTGCTGAAATCACACCAAAGTAGTACAAGTAACTTTTAGAAAATTGCTCTGTGCTAAGTTGCATTGATGTGAATGGACACCACCGAAAACAATGTGACTTCTATTGATGCGATTCCGTGTAACTCAAGCCGCATTTAAAATTGCACCAGTGTAAGCGGAGCCTGAGACTCCATTTAAATATTGGTGTTTTGAATCGCAGCCGGAATTGTCGCGATTCTGATAGCGATTTCAAAACATGCTGTTAAAATGTGAAATCACTCATCAGCATGTGCTGGCGCTGTTTATTTCAATGACACCTGAAAATGGGGGACGATTTTGCGGTGATTGCCATGCGATTTTGCAGGCAACAAACGCTGTGTGATCACACAAACAAAATCGCATGGCAAACGTCACGCAAAAGAAGTTCACACGGCAAAATCACCATGTGTATTGTATTGTATAAAATGATATGGGCAGTCAGTAAGCGATGTCACTGCTGTTCTGCAGGTTTATTCCAGGTCCTCCGAGCAGCAGCGACACCCTATGACTCTTCAGGTCACTTCCGATTCGCGCATTCTCCGCCTGCACGAGGTTTGCTCCTCCGGCTCGCCGTAGGACGCTGTGTCTGGCTGCTAGGTAACATCATCAGCTGATTCGGGCCTGTGTGCTGCGCTGAGGCCTGCTGTAAATTACTGTATAGAGTGTATGGCCGGTCGTGTTGTTTGCTCAGCCAGGACACAGCAGTGACAGCCATGTTCCGATGGCTCCTGGGCGGGAGAGAACCGCAGGCCGGAGCGGAGGTAAGAAGCTGGAGAACCACAAGTCCCAGAACGCCCTCCATCATCTTTTGCTGCTCGGGCTTGTATTTGTGCTCAGCCTTCAGGCCTCTATACTACTGGGGAACTAAAGGTCCCGGTACAGGGCCAAACCCTGGAGGCTTTATAATTGCGACCACATTGGAGAGATTTATCCCTACTTCCTGTCTCTATATATATAATGAGGAGGGGAACTTCCCTTTCCCCTGTCCTTCTCCCTTTCCCCTGTCCTTCTCCCTTTTCCCTGTCCTTCTCCCTTTTCCTTTTCCTGTCCTTCTCCCTTTTCCTTTTCCTGTCCTTCTCCCTTTCCTTTTCCTGTCCTTCTCCCTTTCCTTTTCCTGTCCTCTCCCTTTCCTTTCCTGTCCTCCCTTTCCTTCCCTCCCTTTCCTTCCCTGTCCTCCCTTTCCTGTCCTCCCTTTCCCCTGTCCTTTCTTTCCCCTGTCCTCCCTTCCCTTTCCTTCTCCCTTTCCTTCTCCCTTTCCTTCCCTTTCCTTCTCCCTTTCCTTCTCCCTTTCCTTCTCCCTTTCCTTCTCCCTTTCCCCTGTCCTTTCCTTTCCTGTCCTTCTCCCTTTCCTTTCCTTCTCCCTTTCCCCTGTCCTTTCCTTTCCTGTCCTTCTCCCTTTCCTTTCCTTCTCCCTTTCCCCTTTCCTTTCCTGTCCTTCTCCCTTTCCTTTCCTTCTCCCCTGTCCTTCTCCCTTTCCCCTGTCCTTCTCCCTTTCCCATGTCCTTCTCCCTTTCCCCTGTCCTCACTTTCCTTTCCTGTCCTTCTCCCTTTCCTGTCCTTCTCCCTTTCCTTTCCTTCTCCCTTTCCCCTGTCCTCCCTTTCATTTCCTTTCCTTCTCCCTGTCCTTCTCCCTTTCCGTCCTTCTTCCTTTCCTTTCCTGTCCTTCCATTTCTTTTTCCTTTCTTTTCAAATCCTTTTTTTTTTTTCCTTTTCCCATTCCTTTTTCCCTTTTTTTTTCCCTTACATTCCTTTTCCTTTCCATTCTTTTTCCCTGTCCTTTTTCCTTTCCATTCTTTTTCCCTGTCCTTTTTCCTTTCCATTCCTTTTCCCTGTCCTTTTTCCTTTCCATTCCTTTTCCCTGTCCTTTTTCCTTTCCATTCCTTTTCCCTGTCCTTTTTCCTTTCCATTCCTTTTCCCTGTCCTTTTTCCTTTCCATTCCTTTTCCCTGTCCTTTTTCCATTCCTTTTCCCTGTCCTTTTTCCATTCCTTTTCCCTGTCCTTTTTCCATTCCTTTTCCCTGTCCTTTTTCCATTCCTTTTCCCTGTCCTTTTCCTTACCCTACACGTTCCTTTTCCTTTATTTTTTACTTTTTCCTTTACTTTCTTTTTCCTTTTTTGTTTCCTCACAGTACTGAAAAATGATTTTGTCAGTGTTGTCCTTGTGTATGATAAATCCTGTTCATGATACACAGGACTTCCTGGTTTGTGAATGATAAACATGCTGATTGTTTCTATCACACAGGAAGTGCTGGACAGCGTGCTTCCTATCATGTGTGTCAATGAAGCCTCTTTCAGACTGATCCAGTGGGTGTCGCAGTGTACCAGCAGTTAGCTGCCTTTTGCTGTAGACTTCTATTATGTCTGCCCATTTTGGCACACGTTTGAGAAAGAACACTAAAACTGCAGAACATAATAGAAACCTATGGCAAAGCACAGCTAGCCCACGTGGAAACCGCAGGGAGAAGCGCAGCAGAAGCACAATGTGAAGGGGGTCACAGGTTACAACCACACAGGTGATTAGGGCCAGTGAGAATTGTAGCGGCAGTTTCTGGTGCAGCCGCTGACCCCAATCACTAGAATGACAGGTCACTGGTGGATGAACCTATTCACAACTCTCTGCTCAGCCAGCACCTGCGGTGATCACTGGTTATGCAGGAAGAAAGTGCTGTGCTATGTGATTGAAAATCATACAATTCATATGCAATCTGATATACTTTGCAACCACTCTGTGTTGTTACACGCCAAAAACAATATAAATGTGCAATCATAAAAAATTTGAATAAATAATTAAACAATACTTTAAAGGTCAAAGTAAAGGTGTATAAAAGTCCTCAATCAAATGTCCTTCAGTGCAAAAAATTCTCCATAATGTTAAAGCTGCACCCACAAGTAGTATGAATTGCAGTCATAGAGTGAAGTGACATCCCAATGTGGAAAAGGAGACATCCGTGAAATCCTCCACCACTATGCACTCACCAAAAACTAAAATAAACCAGAAAATCCTCCAAGGTAAGTATTTCTCCTTCACAGAAAGGCTGGTATGTGATCCTTTAATGATGTATCCTGAAAAGGAGAGCGTGCCAGACCTGATCCCCCCAACCCCCACCCCACCAGATCACAGCGCTCCCCCGGACCGTGCGCTCCGCTCTGCCCAATGGCAAACCACGCTCAGCACAGATAACGGTCTTTCCACCGAGTGTGCCCGCGGCCTGTCCCCGCTCCTTCTGTCTGAGAGAATCGCACCACATATGTGCCATTGTGCCCTTAATCCCACACCCCCTCCAGGTGATTTCTCTACTTGTTGCTTATGTGCCGCACTAGGTGTGATATACCATCTTATAAATATTTATAATTCATTTCCACCACCTTTGTATCTACTACCCTAGGTGTTAATCTAAATATTTTCATTTTTTTCTGCTCCTTAAATGATATTCCAAGTTCCATTTCCCACTTTTCCATATACAACAGAGAAGTGGATCCTATTATTGCGGTAAGGATCTTATAAATACGGGAGGTACTATGTTTCTGTGTCTTACTTGCACTAAACAATTGTTCAAATGGATTCAAATCCTCCATTGTCCTAAGTGGCTGTGGGAGCATTGTAACAAAATGATTTAATTGAAAATATCGCCATTCATCTATCATGAAGAACTTTTTATTTTTTAATTCCTGAAAGGAGCATATTTCTCATTTTCCAATATATATCTTTTAATTGTGTATTCTTATTTTTTTTTATCCATTTACCAAAAAATATCCTCTTTCCCTGGCAGGAAAAAAAAATGTTCCCACCAGCAGTATTAATGGTGAATTATACTCCCCTCCCATTTGTTTATAAATGACACCTCATATCTTAATTACATTCCATGTAAAAGTGCTTGTGTTTTCAGCCAACTTACGGTGCTGATGCGGAAGCCAAATAATCCTATCTAATTGTGTCTCACTTAATGTGTCTTCTATTTTAACCCAACTATTCCCCTGTGCATTATATATCCAATCAAATATTTGTGATAATAATACGGAGTAATAGTATCTCTTAAAATCCAGTACATTTAGACCCCCATTTTCTTTATCTCTACACAGCACTTCATATTTTATTCTGTTTTTTTTTTTTCCCCATATATACCTTAATATCATTTTAACAATTTTAAAATTAGTTCCCGGTAGATATATTGGTAACATATGTAATTTATATAGGATTTTTGATACTATTAAGATCTTTACCATAGTTATTTGTCCTATCCAGGAAAGTGATCAGGGGTCCTCAAACTATGGCCCACGGCCTGGGTACGGCCCGCCAAAGCCATTTTTCCAGCCCATCAAGCCAGCTGGAAAAAAAAAAACAATTGAAAAAGAAAAAAACCGGATCGGCAAATAGCTAGGCTGCTCAGTGGGTCCTCGGCCACGAGGACCCAGCCAACGGCAGCCTGGAAGTCCCTAATTTCACCTGCTGCAGCCAGAGGAGCAACAATAGAGGAGGAGAGCACACCATGCACCAGGTACAGTGCATTTGGTGTCCAGTGCGTTACAGAGTACAGTGCATTGCGGTGTCCAGTGCAACCAAACCCGCGTCCCCATTCCCTGTGTCGCGAGTCTAGTTACATGTGTGACCTCGCGTTTCCCGCCTATTCTCTAAAAATTCTCAACCTTCCTAGGCAGGAAAACAAAAGATAACTGGAGAGAGAGAAAAGAAATAGAACTCCTGTCACAACTTCATAACTCCTCCCACAACTTCATAATTCCTTCCCCCTGTTCCTCTTCTCCCTTACTTATTTTATCTCTGATGCGCTCTCTTTTTGGGGATTAATTGCCATCTCTCTTTTTCTATTCCTTTATTTTCCTTTACCCCTTCTTCCCATACTGAAATGTCTATTTTCTGCAGTTCTAGTCTCTCACAGAAGTCCCATAGTTCTTCTCTGAACTTCAGTCTTGCCAAGCGATCGTCTTTCCATCCAATTAAACATGCTGGAAACCCCCAGCTGTATCGAATGTTTTGTTTTCTCATCTGTTCCAGTAATGGTTTAAAAGTTCTGCTTCTAGCTAATGTTTATGGTGTTACACCCCGGTCACATCAAGCCCAACTTTGAAATCGTGCAAATTACAGTGAAGTCTCACGAATTCGAAGTCAGGTGAGATGCCGATTTCAGGTGCGATTTACAAGACATCTGACACAGATGTCTATGCAAATCGCACCAAAAGTAGTACATGTACTACTTTACAAATTGGTCGGAACCGGACCGATTTGATCACTCTAATTGCGGACAATAGGGTGCAACTTGGCATAAGATTTGCATGTTGCATGGCATGCAAATCGCATGCCAAGTCGCACCCAATGTGACTGGGGGGTGTTATACCCACAAAAATTTGTAGATTACTTTCTTCATATTATAAATATAAATAAACAGCGCAAATTTAGATAATTAATCAATATAATAAATCATATAAAATAGGTGCATAAATTATTCGTGTTTACCCTTAATTTTAAACAAAAACACCCAAAAGTCCATGTGCTGAAAACATAATTAAATTGTAGAAATAAAAGTGCCAACTTCTTTTCTTCAGAAAATACTTTCACCTTCCACCAGTGCACAAACCAACATCGAATACACTCACCAGAACTTGGTGAGTAAAAGACCTTTAAGGAATTTTTAGGGATCCTAAACCCTCTTTGGTGCCACGCTAGGGAAAATCTTCACCCTCCGAATAGACTCCACCATTCAACCAAAAGAAAAAAACTCACATAGCATAATATTGTCACACAATAG